TGCAATAATCTGACATAACCTAGCAGACAGGTTGAATAAATTATGGCACATCTACTGGTAAATGGCACCAGCCCTTACAATGGACTGCAAAGGAGTGGCCACATCCACCCCTAGGTGAGGAGGGGAGTCATACCATTTCAAACACAGATACGCCCGCCGCAGAGAAAGAATATAACAGAAGTGATGCAATCACCCCTGGGAAGTGTGTGTGTGAATATATTTACTTTCCTCTCTGTGTTTTTCTGTCTTTTCAAACATGTCTACAATGGATATGCGTAACTTTCGAAGTTGGTAAAGACAGAACAATAAGGTGATTTTCACCAGCATGCTTTACCGGGGAGCTGCCCTCCACAGCCGGTGCCCACGTTAGGAACGGCAGCAAACATTCAGGAGAAGCAGGGTTTCACGGGCCCTGTGCTTACAGCACAGGGAAAAAGCAGGTGCGGGACACACTCCTATCTTGACAAGCTGTACAATGACTTCCCTCCCGATCCTCTCGTCAAGGCCCCGCCTCCTACGCCACACAAAGGAGGGGCCGTCAGGATGGGCCTGTGCAGGTTTCAGAGCTAATAAATAACCTCGTCGCTCTGAGGCTGAGTAGCCTGTAGACACCACTGCTCTCTCTCTTCAAAAAGTAGCAATCGCCCTGGAAGGGCAGCTCAGTTGGTTGGAGTGTCATCCGGTGCACTGAAAGGTTGTGGGTTCGATTCCTGGTCAGGGCACATACCTAAATTGTGCGTTCAATCCCCAGTCAGGGAGCATATGGGAGGCAGCCAATTGATGTTTTTCTCTCATATCAATGTTTTTTTTCTTTTCTTTTCTTTTTTTTGGTTAATCCTCACCTGAGAATATTATTCCATTGATTTTTACAGAGAGTGCAAGTGAGGGAGGGGGGAGAAACATCAGTGTGAGAGACACATCATTGGCTGCCTCTCGCATGACCCCAACCCGGGCTGGGGATCAAACCTGCAACCCAGGTACGTGCCCTTGACAGGGAATCAAACTCGAGACCCTTTGGTCTGCAGGCCAACACTCCAGCCGCTGAGCCAAACTGGCCAGGGCACATCAATATTTCTTTCTCTCTCTCTCCCATCCTCCCCCTCTAGAAAATACAATCAATCAACATATACTCAGGTGAGGATTCAAAAAAAAGTGACAATAAAGCCAGGTGTTAAAAAAAATGTTAGGGGGTTAAAAAAACAACAATAAAGCAAGAAAAGACCAAGCGGGCCAAGTTATGCAGATTAATCCCAAATTCTAAAAGTAAGAAAGAAAAATGAATGCACAGGACATATCCGTCCACCATCCCATTGCCTTCCGTCGGTCTGTCCATCTGCCTGTCACCAGGTGCTCACTGAACTCAGCACTGTAGCCAGAAGCAGGGCTGTGGTGATCAAGGACTTGGTCCCTGTCCTCTGCCCTCACAGCCTAACCTCAGTTTACACATTTGTAAAATAGCAGTAAATTAGAATAGCTAGTCAAGTGCCTGCAGTGCCAGGCACCGTGTCGAAGGCTTTGCCTCTGTGAGCTCAATCAGCGGCCGCACGTGGTCCTGGGGACTGAAGGGCCACCTGAGTGCTTGCCTCAGGCAGCTGCGCAGTCGGGCTTCATCCCTTCTCCAGGGTCTAATTCCAGCCGTCTTTCCTCAAGCTCCCTTTCTTTTTCTTTTTTTTTTTTTATCCTCACCCGAGGACATTTTCCCATTTTTTTTGTTCAGGTAGAGTGGGAGGGAGAGAGAGGAACAGAGAGAGAGAGAGAAACATCGATGTGAAAGGAACACATCGAGTGGCTGCCACCCGCACGACCGACCAGGGCCGGGGACAAACTGCAACCGAGGTACGAGCCCTTAGCGGGAACCAAACCTGGGTCTCTCTGGACCGCAGGCCGACGCTCTAACCGCTGAGCCAAACCGGCCAGGTCTCAAGCTCCCTTTCTGTGCACCCCACTTGGACCCAGCCCATGCCCATTCTAGGGTCCCTGGAGGCGCCACCCTCTCCCACACCTCCATCTCGCATGAGAGTTCCCCTCCCTGCAGCTCCTCCAACACACACCTGGAGGCTCTTGTTCAACTTTACGTTGCTCAAGTGACACTGCTTGGGGACCCCTCGCCAGACCTCCCTGAGCCCTCGCAGCCTGGCCGCTGCCCAGGGCCTGCCACTTGCCTGTCGCTGTGCCCACTTACATGATGGCACGAACGTGAGACTGTGGTTTTCTCTCCAAACACCCAGGAGGGCACATCATAGAGACATCGACTGCCGCTTGCCGGGCTCACAGGGCAGCATCTCCTGCTCATCGTCTCCTGTGGCTCAGCCCTCAGTCTCTACAGAGGAAGGCATCCCTAGTTTATCTGAGGGCAATGACTTGCCCAAGGTCACACGCAGGCCGCTGGCTCCCACGACAGTAAGTGTGAGCTGGAATACATCTAGAAGGTGTATAAACCACTCAAAGAGGAGGTTTTCAGGGTCATCTCAGCGGCCCCTAGACTCAGGGCCACACGCCCTCAGCCCCGGAGACCTGCGGGAAGACGCCGCTGCGCGTGGAAGTCTGAACAATCAGGAGATGCTTGCACTTCTCTTTCAACAAATACCCGCGTCTCTGCCAACAGCCTTGTGCTGTGGGGAGCAGGGACGGGACAGAAATGGAACCAGGGCCCCTGCACGCAGGGTGCCGAGGAGCTCCCAGGGGGCCTGGCGGGTGCCAGGCTGGTGCCCAGCCTGGAAGAAGAGCCCCCAAGTGTCATGTCTCTTCTGTAACACGGCAGGCAGAGTGGTCACTTCTGCCCTAGTGGTGGGCCGTGAGGACAGCATGACTGGACAGGGCCACCGGAGAGCAGGGTGAGGGCCGGTTGTTCAGGGTGGCCCGCCAGGGCTCAGGGTTGACCGAGAGGACCATGGCCTCTCCGAATGGAGCTTGGGACTGGGCTGAGGATGGAGAGTCATGGAGGCCAGCGAGGGCAGGAAGGCCTCTGGGTCAGGAGGACATGATGCCAGGGCCCGGACACCACTGGGCCTGCCAGCCCACGAAGGTGTGGAAGGACATGAGCCACATGAGGACTAGAAGACTGAAGGCCGTGGCTTTGAGTGGACCCTCGGGTTAAGTGACCTGCACAGGCCACAATACCTGAGTCTGCCCAGCGTGCCCAGCAGCGCCCTGGCCCTCCCCTGTGCGGGCTGCCCTGACTGAGGGTCACTTCAGGTCTTACCGCCCAGCTGCTGGCCTAACCCTTGTAGCTGCCCAGAACCCTGAGCTATTCCCAAGTCCTGTTTGAGGGGCAGCCACCTCCCTGCAGCTGCAGGTGGAAATGGGCAGCGTCTCTAACAGGGGTCAAGAGGTTGAGGGCAGCTGTGGAAAATAAAAGGGGAAGGATAAGTGTCTGGAGGGGGACCCCCGCCTCTCTGCATCAGTGGGGCGAGGTGAAGGGGGCCTCACAGCAGGTGGGCCATCGCAGCACAGTCATTGCCCCTGGCCTCCTCGCAGGGCCTCAGAGCATCCCCATGCCAGACGCCACTTTATCCTCCATGGAGACACCACACAACCTCCCACCACCACCACCAGGCATGTCCACCACCACCACCACCACCACCAGGCATGTCCACCACCACCACCACCACTACCACCAGGCAGGTCCACCACCACCACCACCACCACCAGGCATGTCCACCGCCACCACCAGGCATGTCCACCACCACCACCACCACCACCAGGCATGTCCACCGCCACCACCAGGCATGTCCACCACCACCCAGGCATGTCCCACACCACCACGCAGTCACCACCACCAGGCATGTCCACCGCCACCACCACCACCACCAGGCATGTCCACCACCACCACCACCACCACCACCAGGCATGTCCACCACCACCACCAGGCATGTCCACCGCCACCACCAGGCATGTCCACCGCCACCACCAGGCATGTCCACCACCAGCACCAGCACCAGCACCAGCACGTCCACCACCAGCACCAGCACCAGCACCAGCACCAGCACCAGCACCAGCAACACGTCCACCAGCAGCACCACGGACACAGGCACGCGCCTTTACTGAGCCCCCTTCAGAGCACTGATCACGCTGGTCCGCAGCTGAGACAACGCAGGGGGCGCTCCTCCCACCGCTCCGCTCGCTCCGCTCACCTGGGGCAGCCTCGGGCCCTGCGTGCATCGCCCACCTGCGGTGACCGCCCCTCACCTCGCCCGCTGATGCGGGTCCCCTCTCCAGACACGCATCCTTCCCCGTTTATTTTCCACAGCTGCCCTCGACCTCTTCTTGGCCCCTCTCACTGAGGCTAAAACTCTTCACCATCCCTCCAGGTTCAGAATTGTGGTTTTGAGGAAACTATTCAGCCAAGTTCAGGACCAGCCTCAGGCCAAGGTCCGGAGCCAGGAAGCGGTGCCATCCAGGTGGCTGACACGGCTGCAGTCTGCGGCCGAACCCCAGCTGCCACCCCAGCTGCCACCTACCGTCTGCACGTGACCACGCCTCAGGCCTGCACCCCACACCTCGCTGCCCCGCCCTCAGACCGCAGGGGCCTCTCACAGCTCCGGGCCCTGCAGGCGTCTCTGCTCTCAGGACGGGGGCGCAGGGCACAGGCCCCTGCCGTTCTCAGTCCTCAGCTCCCCAGAGGTCCAACGCGATTCCTCTCCCCGGGCCCCTCAGCACACGGTCCAGCCTGACGCCCAGCACGGGACACTCCAAGCGGTCTAAATGCTTGGCCAGTCCCGCGGGCCAGCTTCCCAGGCGAGAAGCTCCTGGGGGCTGATCCTCCTCCCCACGGACTCAGACACCGGGGCTGAGCTTCGATCTCCGGGCCCTCACTGATCACACCACCCTGCCAACACCGCCCCACTAAGTGCAGGGCACTCACCACGGGCTCCTGGGCCAGCGCTGCAGCCGAGTCTATCTCAGTCCTGCAGCATCGGACAGGGGCACGTGCACAGACCACCAGGCCGAGCCACGTACCCAGGGCCACAGGGCGACGTCCGCGCGGCCTGGGGACCCACCATGCCTCCGGTGCACTCCCGGCCGTCCTGCAGGCAGCGGAGGTTCTCCCGGGTGCTGTAGGCCTTCGGCCCCGCCACCAGCGCCTGCCGCGGGCGGCTGTCCACCAGCTCTGTGCCCTGGAACACAGCCTCGTCCAGAAGGACCCCGGCATGCCTGCGAGACCAGCAGAGACCTGTGACACAGGCAGCCGCGCCCCAGCTCGCCCGGGGGGACACAGCACAGGGGAGCACCTGCTCCTCCCTCTGAGCTCCCCGAGGCTCCCACACCTTCCCCTTCACCTCCACCCCTGCCCCTCTCCGGCCTCTGCTCGCAGGGCACTGCCTTCTCCTGCCTTACTCTGCACACACAGCATCCGGTTCCAGACTGCCTGCTTCTACTCCTCACACAAAACACGTCTCCTAGCTCTTGTTTTTAATGTTTTAAATTATACTTCCAAGGAAAAATCCTAAATGGACAGTGTACGATGCAGAAGCGTGGTCTCCACAGGTGTTCACACCCGGAGCCTGCAACTTTGTTACCCACGTGGCAAAGGGACTTTGCTGATGCGATTACATTAAGGAGCTTGAGATGGGGAGGTTATCCGGGTTATGCACATGGGCCCAACGTCCCCACAGGGTCCTCGTGAGAGAGGAAGACAGGACAGACAGACGTGACAGCAAGGCAGGCAGGGTGACATGGCGTGAGGAAGACTGTGGAATCTGTAGGGACAGCCTCTATTCTACTCCGGAGACGGGCATCTGTGTCTCTTTTTTTCTTGCTCAATCTAGCTAAAGGCCTATCAATTTTACCTACCTTTTGAAAGAGAAAAAAACATCGTTTAGGGCTTAATTATTTTTCCTCTCTTGTTTGGCCATTTTTTATTTCATTGATATCTGCTCTCATTCTTATCATTCTTTCTGCTTACTTTGGGTTTAGTTTGTTCTTCCTTTTGCTAGCTTCGGAGAATAGAAATGTACACCATTGGCTTTGTACCTTTCTCCTTTCCTAATACAAGCACTGAAGGGTACACATTTTCCTCTGAGCACTGCATTAGCCGTATACAGCAGGTTTGGATATGTTGTGTTTCATTTTCATTTTGCTCAAAATATTTTCTAATTTCCCTTGTGATTTCTTCTTTGCCCTGTGAATTGTGGGTGGTGTTTAGTTTCCTAATGTTTGGGGATTATTCCAAATATTTTCCTGTTAACAAATTCTCATTTAATTTCAATCTAATCAGAGAACACACTTGGTATGATTTCAATCCTTTTAAATTTACATGGTCTGTTTGGATACATGTTCTACGGCTGTTGTGGTGTGGAGTGTTCAATAAACGTCATTTCGGTCGAGTTCAGTGGTCATGTTCAAGTGTGAGTGACCACACAGGTCATCTCCTCGCTCCGTGGAAGCACCTGCACAGACAGCCAAGTGCTCTCAGATGTGGAGATGCCGAAGCAAGGACCACATTTCTAAGCTCAAAGAATGTACAACCACAAACCAAGAGTAACGGCTCAGAGATCAGTGGGGCCCAGGTTGCTGTTTGAAGAGGCTTATAAAAGGCTCGTTATTCCAGGAGGGGCTCGGGGAAGAGATGAAACCTGAACAGTAATCTCGAAAGATGACTGTGAGCCACCAGGTGAAGGGAAGCAAGAGCCCGAGAGGTAAGTGATGGAGGTGGGGTGGAGGTGCCCGTAGAAAGGCCAAGGCAGGGAGGAGCTGAACGCAGAGCCTCGTGTGGGAGGCAGAAGGAATGAGACATGGGCGGAGGCCAGCAAGGGCCGGCAGGGGCGCTCCAAGGCCCCAGCAGGGGGTGGAGCTTTGCCCAGTACGGAAGGAAGACACCGGCAAGCCACTGAGCCGCCCAGCAGGCAAGTGGGAATTCAGATCCAGGTTCCATTTGGGTGTGCGGAGCACAAATCCACAGGGCCAGGTGGGTGTGGGGGCGAAGAGAGGGAGCTGGGACAGGCCAGGTGAGACGATGTGGGTGGGGCGCACTGTGTGTGGTTTCAGGACAGGACGAAGCATCTTGAATGTGGTCACTGGTAGGATGGGGTAGGAAGCTGAGAAACCTTGGAGGCAACTACAACTAAGTTCAGAGAGCGCCTGCTATGACCATAGGAGCACTCATGGTCCCCGTCCCCTAGGGCATCCGCCGGCCATGGCAGCAGCACACCAAGTATCACCCGGCACCGACCCCCAGGACGTGACGCTGGGCCAGGAAGCACCCAGGGCACATCGGCACTCGGCAGTGGGAAGCAGGCCTTGGTACCCGGGTCCCATGGGAGGAGGTCAGTGAGAGACCCCAGGATAGGCACCCACAGCCAAAGGCAGGGCACAGGAGTCCCACCAGGCCACCCAGGAGGCATTGTGACCCTTCTGTTGGCTGCCGGGTCCTTAGGGCCTGAAAGGGGCCCAATGCCCAGAAGGTGGTAGGGAGGGAGGAGGGGGCGCTTCGCCAGCTCTGCAGAGGGCGGACAGGCTCCCGGAGGCCCCCATCGGGCCCACCCCCCATCAAGTCAGCACTGGCCAGCAGTGGAGTAGCCAGTGGGAAGCAGGGTCCCATCTCCTCCTGGACCGAACAGGTTTGTTGATGGCAAGAGGCTGTGAGTGGTGCCAGGTGGGGGTGGCGGGCTCACTAAGGCCAAACAGGTCCTCCCTGCCTGCAGGCCTGCCAGGCAATGGGGAGGGGAAGGGGGGGCGGTCTGCTTGCCCACCTGCTACTGTACAAGCGCACACAAGGCACCGCAAGCCCCGAGCAGGGTCCCCGTCTGACTCAGCACCACTGTGGGCCCGCAAGCAGGGTGCTGGATGCAACGCACAGGAACGGCAGACGGGCCCTGTCGTCCCAGTTCCAGAACCTCAGTTGTAAAAAGCAGGTGTGCGACCGGGGAGAGGTGCTGGCATCAATCTGTCATGTCACTGCCAACTTCATGAACCCATTTCCTCCGAAGCAGAGGGAGAGGGAATGGGGCCAGTGGACAGAGAGGCAGGAAAGCCAGAATGTGTTGCAGGAAACACCAGCTTCTCTCTGGGCTTGTTTTAGGACAAGGGAAACCTCTCACCCTACTGCGACAGCAGGCTTCTTCCTGAGAACTGCCCCAGCCACGCTGGGGACGCAGGGAGACGGAAAGGAAGGTGAAGGAGCAACAGAGCGGTGATGGGGACACGGACCACACAGGGTACAGGGAGGCGAAAGTGAAGAAAGTCAGAAAGGTCCGGGTCAGTGGGACTTGGTGAAGGCATGGATCCGACCCGTCCTGTTCAGCTGGGTCTCGCCCACGTGCGGCCCGCAGTCAGGGCTCCAGGGTGTGTTCATTCATTAATTTCCATTAACCACTTCTCGTTTCTCCCTTTGAAACTTAGAACTGTGACCTCTCTACTTATGTTGGCATTTGGAGAGTGTCTCCTTAAAAATCAAGAGAAACTTTCATTTTTATTACAAGTGGCAATCCATCTTTGAAAAATCAAGTGTCCATCAGTAGACGAATGGATAAAAAAGCTGTGGTACATATACACAATGGAGTACTATGCAGTGGTAAGAAAGAAAGATCTCTTATCCTTTGAGATGACATGGAGGGACCTGGAAAGTATTATCCTAAATGAAAGAAGCCAAGCAGAAAAAGACAAATACCACATGATCTCACTTATACACGGAATATAATGAACATAACAGTCTGAGGAATACAGTAGACCCAGAAACATGGAAGTAAGGTACAGACTGACATCCCTCAGAAGAGGGGGTGGGGGGGTGGGAAGAGATAAACCACAGAACTTATATGCATGTATGCATGACCAATGGACACGGACAACTAAGCCGGGGACGGGGCGGGGGTGGGGTGGGGTGGGGGGTGCCAATGGGGTAAAAAAGGTAAAATATCTGTAACAAAAAAATTAATAAAAAATTTATTAAAAAAAAAAAACAAATCAAGATATGTGAAGTTTAAATCAACCTAGAACATAAAAATGGAGATGAAGGAAAGGGAAATCCGTGGACACACATGACATTCACGTTCCATGTCAAGATTCGTGTCCGCACACATGTAGGCGACATGGCCCCTCTTTGTCATGTGGCCTGGTAACTTCATGTGTCATGGATGTGTGAACAGTGTAAGGACTGCAGGAAGCCTGGACCTGAATTCCAGAGGGGACAGGCATCTCTCACTCAGTAGACTGGACCAGGAACGGAGACCGTGAAGCCGGATCGTGAACGTTATCCCCGCTGAAGCTCAGAGGGGACCTGGAGGACAATCCGAAGCAGTTTAACATCTGTAAAATTAGAGACCCAGAGGAAAGTTAGGAAAGAATGGAGCAGAAAAAAATAGTAAAAGAAATAATGGCCAAAATATTTCCAAATTTGATTAAAAGCCCTAACCCACACATCCCAGAGGCTTAACACACTGTACAAACACACAAAACCACAAAACCACACCTAGGCCAGTATAATCAAACTTTGAAAACCAAAGAAAATCTTAAAAGCAGCTAAGTGGGACTGTATGAGGAATGTCAGCAAAGAGCCAGAGAAAGGATCGCTGTTCTCTCGTGAGAATCAAGGAATCAAGAAGGCAATCGAGTGAAATCTTTAAAGTGCTCAAAGAAAAATAAAACTTGAACCCAGAATTCTGTAGCTACCAGCAATGTCTTTGGGGAAAAAAGGAGAAATAAAGACTTTCTCAAATATTAAAAAAGTGGGGAAATTTATTGTTGGCAGAACAATTGTGGTATCAGTTAAAAACCTGCATGTGCACAAAGGAATTAACTGTTGGAAATGAAATAAATGAAGGTAAAATAGAATTTTACTTTCCTTCTTCTTTTCTTACTAATCCTCATCTGGAGATATTTTTTTCATTGATTTTTAGGGAGAGTGGAAAGGAGGGAGAACGAGAGAGATAGAGAAACATCAATGTGGGAGACACATTGATCAGCTGCCTCCCACACATGCCCCAACTGGGGCCAGGAATCAAACCTGCAACCCGGGCATGTGCCCTTGACTGGGAATTGAACTCAAGACCCTTCAAGTCACAGGCTAACACTCTAACCATTAAGCCTCACTGGCCAGGGCTGACTTACCTTATTTTTAATTGCTCTAAAACATAACTATGTAAAATAAAAAGAGTAGCAATGTACTGTGTGTTTATAGGATATTTAGAAGTAAATTATATGAAAACAATAAGAGAAAAAAGGATGGGAGAGAGGAACTGGGAATACAGTGTGTAAGATCCTTACACCACATGGGAAGCAATATATTATTTGAAGATAATCTCTGATTCATAGAGATTTATACTGTAAATCCTGAGTCAATAGTTAAAATATTTTTTAAAGTATGAGTAATAAATCAATAAAGGAGATAAGATGGAATAATAAACAATGTTCAAAAAGGAAAGAAAAGAAAAAAATGGGGAAAATAAAAATCAGCTAACAATATGTATTTTAACCCAAAAATATCAATCATCATTTTGAATGCAATTGGTCTAAACACACATTAAAAGTTAGAGATTTTTCACCCTGGTGGGTTTAGTTCAGCAGTTAGAGCGTCAGCCGGCGGACCAAAGAGTTGCTGGTTGGATTCCGGTCAAGAGCATGTACTTCAACTGTGGTTCGGTTCCTGGCCCTGGTCAGGGGGTCATGCAGGAGGCAACCAATCGATGTCTCTCTCACATTGATGCCACTTTCTCTCTCTCTCTCTCCCTCCCTCTCGATCTGAAGATAAATGGAAAAATATCATGTGAGGATTAAAAAAGAAAGAGATTTTTCAAATTAGATTTTAAAAAGCCAAGACCCAACTGTATGTTGTTTTACAAGAAATACACCTAAAAAATATAGGTAGGTTAAAAATAAAAGGAGGAAGGAAGCTGCACCATGAAAACACTAAACACAAGAAACTGGAGGACCTATACTAATACCACAAAATCAGCTTCAGGAGAAGGAATACTTTCAGGGACTTAGAGAAGCATTACATGATAATAGTCAATTCTCCATGAAGTCACAGCAATCCTACATGTGTATTCATCTAAAAAAAGATTCAAAATACTTGAGGCCAAAACTGATAAAACTGAAAGAAGAAACAGACAAATTGATCATTTTATTTGAAGATGCCAACCCTCTTCTCTTGGTCGTTGACAGAATGAGTAGGCAGAAAATCAGTAAGGAGCACAATCAATCAACTTAACCAAATAGATATTTACAGAACTATCCTCCCAACTACAACAGATCACACATTCTTCTCAGTGTATGCATGTGTGTGCGTGTGTGCACGCGTGCGTGTGTGTTTTCTGGGTGTGCGTGTGCGTTTTCTGGGCCATACATTTAAAAGAATAGATGCCCTGGCCAGTTTGGCTCAGCGGTTAGAGGATCGGCCTGTGGTCCAGAGAGACCCAGGTTCAGTACCTCGGTTGCAGTTTGTCCCCGGCCCTGGTTGGGTCGTGCAGGAGGCAGCCACTCGATGTGTCCCTTTCACGTCGATGTTTCTCTCTCTCCCTTCCTCTCTCTCCCTCTCCCTCTATCTGAACAAAAAATGAAAAAATGTCTTCAGGTAGGGATAAAAAACAAAACAAAAAAACACATTGGAAACTTAAAAAATATCCAGGCGGTCAGGTCCCTGTACTGTTTGTGGGAAACAGGAACCAGCCTTGAGTTTCCCGTAAGAAATTGGTGGCTCAACTAGGATGTGGGAACAATAGGAAATAGCATGTCCGTTAGAAAGCATTAGCAAACCTTCATACACTGGCTAGGTGTTTTCTGACTTATCATTAATAAAAGAATTCGAGTGAAAAAATAGTCTTAAAAATATTAAGATGAAGCAGTCTTGTCCACAACCACAGGAGTTTATTTAGGGTCTGAGACAAAAAGAAAAGAAAAGGAAAAGGAAAAAAAAAGGGATGGGAGGGGAGGGAATAGGAGGAGAGCGGAGGGGAGGAGAGAAAAGAACAGAAAAGAAAAGAGAAGAAAAAAGAAGACTTAGCAGGAGTTGAACCAAGGGATTTTTTAAAAAGAGAATATTAGTGTTAGCATAAAAGAGCTCCCAATGGCCAAAGCTGAAACAATCATAACAACTAAATAAATAAGATAAATAGAAGAGGGAAAAGTTCAGTCAAAATTCCACATCTATGATAAAATGTTCAGTCAACTAGGAGTAGAAGGGACTTTCCTCAAGTAACAAAAGGCTCAGGCTGAATCAAGATTCTGCGATGAGTATGCATACTTAATGGGGAAATACTAATGTTTTTCCTCTAAAATCAGGAAAAGAAGGCTGTCGCTCTCACTGCTGCAATTCAATATCATAGTGGAGGTTTTAGCCAGTCCAATAAGGCAAGAAAAAGAAAAAGGTATAAATATAGGCAAGGAAGAAGTAAAACTATGCAAATATGATCTGATTGTAAATATAGAAAATCCTAGAGTCTATAAAGAAACTACTACTGTATGTCTAAGAAATAAATTTAGTGAGAATACAGGATACAAGGTCAATATTAAAAATGAATTATATTTCCATATGACATTAACAAACAATTCATAAATGTTCAAAGCAATTCCATTCAAATAAGTATATTTATAGAGTTGTGAGACCATCATCATCTAATTTTAGAATATTTCATCACCCCATAGAAAAACCCATTAGCATAGTTATTCCTCATTCCCTCCTTTACCCCCTAGTCTCTGGCAACCCATCTACTTTCTGGCTTTCTGAACCTGACTATTCTGGAAATTTCCTATCAATGGAATCATAAATTATTATTTGTTTTTAGCCTCTTTCACTTAACATAATGTTTTCAAGGCTCATTCCTGCTGTAGCACATACCAGTACTTCACTCCTTTTCATTGCTGGATAATATTCCATTGTATGGATATACCACATTTATTTGTCCATTTATTAGTCGATGGACATTTAGCTTATTTCCACATTTTGGGTATTATAAATAATGTTGCTATGAATGTTCATGTATAAGTTTTTGCATTCACATGTTTTCGTTTCTCTTGTGTATATACCTAGAAGGAAAATTGCTGGGTCATGGTTTTCATGTTTAAAATTTTGAAGAACTGCAAACTGTTTTCCAAAGTGGCTGGACCATTTTACATTCCCACCAGCAATACATAAAGGTTCCATTGCACCATATCCTCAATAACACGTTATTATCTGCCTCTTTTATTCTAGCCATCCAAGTGAATGTGAGTGATTTCCATTTCTCTGACGACTAATGATTTTTAGCATTTTTTCATTATTTTTTAGCTTATTGGCCATTTGTATATCTTCTTTGGAGGAATGTCTATTCAGATCTTGCCCATTTTTCAATTGGGTTATTAGTCATTTTATTGTTGAATTACAATAATTTTTATATGTTATAGCTACAAGTCCCTCAGCCAATGTATGATTTACAAATATTTCTCCCATTCTGGATTGTTTATTCATCTTCTTGATGGTGTCCTCTGAAACACAAAGATTCTACTTCTAGTGAAGTCGAATTTATTATAAAAGTCCACTTTACCATAAAAGATGTGACACAGGAGGCACATAAACATGCAGAGGGAAGAGATGCTTAGGGGGGCCCTGTGGGAAGGGTGTGGAGCTTCCGTGCCCACTCCAGTGCCCCTCTCCACGCCTCCCCGTGTTCACCAACCCGGAAGGAAGTTCTCTGAACCCTGCCATTTGGGATTTTACAGAGGCTTTATCAAGTAGGCGATCCATCATTAACTCCAGCTCCAGCTCCTCTCTGCAGAACGGGGGGGGGGGGGGGGGGGGGGGGGGGGGCTGAAAATTCCAAGTTTCTAATCATGGCTCAGTCTTCCTGGTGACCAGCCCTCATCCAGAAGCCCACCCAGGGTCACCTAACTGGAATAAAAGATGTTCTCATCACCCAGAAAATCCCGAGTTTCAGAGCTCTGTGTCGGAACAGGAACTGGCAAATCTCTGATTTTCTGACCTGGAGATTGCAGTGATGACCCCCTAGTGCCCGGGCGACCTCCTGGGTCTGTGAGGAGGAACGGATGACGACTGAGTTCCATGAGAATTTACAGCTATTATTGCTGATTCATTACAGCCTGACTCCTCCCCTGCTCCCACATTCACACACCTTGACCTGTGTTTGAAAACTTGACTGTAAACTAGAACCTTTATCAGAGGTAGAGAAATTGTGTTTGAGTCGCTTTCTCGTAGCAACTCAGGAGAAGCCCTGGCCCAAGTCTCCTCAAATTCCCTGAGGACCCCATTCACCTGGACACACAGACTGTCAGAATGTGAACACCACTCCACCCGCAGATCCCACCAGCTAGACTCTTTCATGCTCACAGTGAAGCCCCTACCTCTCCTCACTCCTGGTAGCGCCAGAGCCCCCACCCACCTGGAGAAAGCAAACCCGAGGGCCATCTCACCTGCTGGTGAAGGTCAGCGCCAAGGTCGTGGCCAGGTGAGGCATCAGCCGAAAGCTCTGTGTTTGGTGCTCAATGGTCTTGACCTCTTCCTTCCCTTTGGGCCCAAACTGCCTCTCTGCCTCCGGCTAGAGAGGATCAAGCAGACAGTTTTACCCAAAGGCCACAGGCATCTTCATCCCCAGAGCTACAGGGATGGACAAGCGGCCACTTGCATTGAAACCACTGGAACACTTCCGACTACAGAACACCCAGGTCTCCAAAAGCGTGAGTAAGACAAGAGATATAAAACGTTCCTGAAGACAGTGAACAGAACGCTTTCAGCTCTTCTGAAAATTAACCTTCCCACGTGGAATACTTTTAAAACAGCGTATCTATTTAATACACAGAGTCACCTACTCCCTCACATTTACATGGCATTTCACAGTTCCCAGTGTCCCACGATCATGAAGCCTCACTAAGTTTCTGACGTCATCAACAGGACGGGAGCAACATCCTAGCCCATATTTCACACGGACGTTCTCTACAAGAGGCAATGCGACCACTGCTGCCATCAGACTCGCGGAGGGTCCTCCGCTCAGCCCACATCCCCTGCGCTCCTCACAGAAGGTGCTCTCCACATCTTGCACAAAGTCCTGTGCCGCACAGACAGTGCTGCATTTTGTTCTGGGACAGTTGTATCCGTGTGAACTGAGGCCTTCCTCAGAGCGGTTTATAACCTGCTGTGGGACTGCCCCACAGGCAACACCCGTGGACCAATCTTACAGCATCCCTTGCGAGGCCTGTGGTAGGTCAGCCCTCTGCCCAGGCAGGCCAATGCACTACAGTCCCGGGTGGGGCAGCACCCGTCTTTGAACATCCCTGACCTTTATATTGAATTCTGAACAAACATTTCACATACACATGCACACACATGCACACACAGGCATGTATGATGTGCACACACATACACAGGTGCATACACACAGGTACCGTCTATATTATCAAACAGGCAGGGCACACCTGTGCTTCACACAAGAGTGAAGTGAGGATATCCATCCATCACTCAACAGGGGGAGCATGCCCCACACCACCGCTGCCGCCGCCACTGCCACCAGTAGAGGCTTGAGGACAGAAGGTTGGGGGGGTAGCAGCAGAGCTGGTGAGGCTGCCATGTTGGGTCTGAAGTGGTTGCTTTAGGTGCCAATGGAGAGAGTGGGTGTGCAGAGCAGCGACCGGGAGGTGGGATCTGCCCCTCTGCAGACAGCCTGGAGCAGCGGAGGCACCATGAGTGGGGCACCCCTTACATGGGCAGCAAGATGAGCCTTATCTCAGGGCAGAGATCGCTACAGGGCATCCTCTACACCCTCGACACCGAGCGAGAACTCCACCCACAGCCCTCACCGAAGTTCCGTCCTTTGCTACAGAGGACAGACCAACAGATCATCCAGTACCACCTCGAAATGAAGTCTTTGACTACATTATATTCTGTGGAAGTGATGTTCAAGACCTCACTGTGTGTGAACTGCCAAAACCAGTGTTCTTTGCCTCAGGACCCAGGTACCATTCAGTGTGCACTGGGCTCATCCACTCCTTCATTCCAGTCGGCGGGCTCCCGTGGGCCTCTCGGCGGGATGTCCCGTTAGAGTCTGTTCAGTCCGAGTCCACCAGGCGGGCAGCAGTGTGGTGCTGTTGCTGTAGCTGGAAACTCCTCTCCATCCTCTGGAACAGAAACATCGAACAGCGGCACCCTATCCCCAAGTAGTCAGTGGTTCTGCCTTCACACCGGATACAAGATGTGTAAGAACAGTCCTCTCAAGGTTGTTGAGGCCTCAGTTGATCCTTTGAGAAAAAGCCCGACCATGGAACAAGCAGCACAGACCGCCCCCGCCACTCACCTGGTGGGCACCTGCTGGGAGCAGAAGCCCTGCAGCAACCAGGTTCACCGTCTACCAGCCAAAAGCAACAGAGAACCAAGGGCACAGGCAAGCTGAAGTGCGCAGTCTCCAGACCAGAAAATGAGCGACAGAAATGGCAGTGCCCCTTCAGCAAGGAGAGGGCGCGGGGCCATCAGCGTGGCCGGGGATCTGGTATTCAGCGAGGTGGTCCTGTGAAATTTCAGAAAGACTTTGACTTCCAAAGTGCAGATGCACGATTTACAAGGAGGACACTGACAGAGAGTTTCATAATAAACTTACATTGAAAGTAGAAAACAGCCCTGGCCGGTTTGGCTCAGCTGTTAGAGCGTCGGGCCACGGACCAGAAAGTCGCAGGTTTGGTACCCACTAAGGGCACGTACCCCGGTTGTGGTTTGTCCCCGGCCCCGGTTGGGGTTGTGTGGGTGGCAGCCACTCTGTGTCTCTCTCACATTGATGTTTCTCTCTCTCTCTTCCTCCCTCTCTCCCTCCCGCTCTATCTGAAGATAAATGCAAAAGTGTCCTTGGTGAGGAAAAAAAAAAAAGTGGAAAACAAACTTGAGAAACTGGAGAGACCTGTGAATGGTGAACATAAAGGAGACTCAGGAGTCGATACTCCACACAATGACGGGAATGATGGTAATGAAGATCCGCTTGGACCTAATTGCTATTGTGACGGAACTAGATCCTTCTTTGATGATACTTCTTGTGATGATGATAGAGAACGGAGACCAGCCTAGGCTGAAGCAAGAAGATTAAGTGCGGAAACATTTGGACTCCCCCTTCATCCACGCATGGCCACGAGGGTTACAGAGGCAGAGGAGGTCTCAGTTTCCACGGTGGCCGAGGGCGTGGCGGTGGCAGAGGTGGCACCTGTACCACGGCTCCAGGATTTCGTGCTGGATTCCGAGGAGGCTGTGGGGGTGGGGAGCTTGCAGATGTTATAGGAATACAAATATAGGAAAGATGACAGAGTTGCTGCATAGTAAGTAAGTCTTTGAAAACAGGTGACTTTCAAGCTCTTCATGGTCCTGAGACTTGTTTTCAGTCTTTACCAAGAATAAAGAAATGAATTCATTGTACGCTTGTCACCAGCACTGGTTTTGGTTTCTTTGTTTATGTTTTTCTGCATAATTTCAAAGATATGATGCAATTATATTGGGTGGGCAGCTCATCTTTTAAAATGAGCATTAAATACATTTGAAAGAGAAAGAAAGAAAGGAGAGAGAGGAAGCAGCAATTTGTCTTCATTTTTATTCATGATAAAGACTAACTAAATTTTATACTTTAGTAATTGTCTTTATTTGTCATTTTCGAAGGGTACCATAGTGCCTGAGGCCTCTGAACTCGTGCCTGGCCCTGTGGCGTGGGGGAGGCGGTGGGGACACGTGACATGAGCACACAGAGCAGCTGCAGGAGCACGACTGCCCGGGTAGTCCGACCCCACGGGTGGTTGTCCGAGGAACAATCCCGACCTGCCCTCTGTCCACCCATGACCATCTGAAGGAAATCTCGCAGTTTTCGCTAAATCATTGCAAAACCAAACTCACAACCCCGCCCTGGCCAGTGTTGCTCAATGGTTAGATTGTCGGCCCACACACCGAAGGGTCTCAGGTTTGATTCCCTGTCAAGGGCACGTACCTGGGCTGCAGGTTCCATCCCAGTGCGGGAGGCAACCAATCAATGTCTCTCTCACATCAAAGTTTCTCTCTCTCTCCCCACCCCAACTTGCTTCCTCCCTTCCACTCTCTCTAAAAATCAATGGAAAAAATATCCTCAGGTGAGGACTAACAAACAAACAAAAACATCACAACCCCAACAATGGCGTCATCACAATTTTGGGTCATTTTACATATTCCATCTGTCCCCACACTCTTGATTTTCATTTTTAAATGCTATGATTATAGTGTACCTTTTCCTATGGCCATTTGTCTACAATACTGTCTACTAAAACCAGACATTGCCACGCGCAACGCACTCCTCTGGGGGCATCTGCACACCTGCTCCTGCTGACCCCACACATGGCGCTGGGCATCCATCAGGGTCAGGAAGGCCAGGCCCGGCCGCTGAGCTCACAGCTGGCACAGAGCCAGACCAGGTGGCACGAGCAGGTGAGCCCTGTGCGTGCCCCGCCTGCTCCCCGTCAATCACTGTATTTCCTAGGTGCTACCAGAAGACCATTTCAGGAGCCTTCACCAGTGACAGCCAAAGCAGAGACCAGTCACAGCACCTTTGAGTTTTGGTTGGTTGAAGAGTAACTACAATAACAATACAATGTTCCATCACAGTTTCTGGTGTTGAGTGTGCCGTCTGCCTGGGCCCAGTGCACAGCAGATACTTGGTGTCTGTAGAGTGAAAGAGTTTGGCCTGTGGGGACGTGCAGATCAAGCCAGGCAGAGGGGCTCACTTAGGACCCCAGGGATCGTCTTCAATGCTAGATCTGACCCTTGCCCTAGAGTGCCACAGTTTCCCAATTTAGGCACACCTTGTGATCATTTCATTTCCACTTTGACCCTCACGGTTCAATGGGGGTAACAGGTGCAGAGCAGAAAGAGGCCACTGAAGGTCCATGTGGCAGGCCTCCCGGTGCCTTCCTTCACGATTAGAAGGGGGAGGGTTTAGCTGAGGTTCTGCCAAGATACAAGGTGACTTCACAAAACTTGGGATGTCACAACAAGACATTTCCAGCCTGTCTGAAAACTAGGAGGATCTGGCAGCTCCAGACCCCATTCCTATGATGTGACCCGCCGGAGCTCAGAGGCCTCTCTGCTGCGGCTTGGCTGCCCCCTGCAGTCCCCAGAGCCCTGTCCCTCACTGGCACTGTCTGCAGGCCTGGGAGACTCTGAGTTTTCAACCTCTGCCACAGTAGATCTCTTTTTTCATCCAGAATATATTGACACCAGCACCCCAACTTGTTGATCAAGCTCTGTGACTGTGAGTCTATGAATTCATTAGGAGAAATCCCAGAGGGCTAACTGCTCTGCCCAGCTCCTACAGAGTGACACCCAGGTGCCTCCGCTGGGCACTCGGGGGCTGACTTTGCCGATACTTGAATGTCTTGACTATTTGTTGACCTCAAGAAGAAATATACCTGCCGAGAAGGACTCCTCCTGGTTAACTGGACTCAAAATTGTAACAGCGACTAGGAGCCATCATTAACACAAGGCCTCTCATGAAAACTGCATTTCGTGGAAAAACTGAAGGCGGGGCTGCTAAGCCTC